ATAACAGCACAGTGTTTTTATATGACGTGCAGTTACACTCAGAAAACTTCAGTGGGCGCCAAAGTGCACCAAACCGACTTCCTATATAATGTTGCTTTAACCGGAAAAGGAAACAGTCAAATACTGTATGTCTCTTAAAACAAATCCTGAGATAGTGTCCTTTGAACATCCTTGTGCATATATTACATGTAAATAAAATTCCTTATTAGCTCACATGTTTTGTATTGGTGTTGTGAAAACACAGAGCGTACACATTGTCCAGTTTTCTCTGACAGAACAAACACATATCAACATCATTACAACACAATCTTAACCAGAAAAGTAACCATCTCAGTGTTAAATAAATGAAGTAGAATCAAAGTGTAAAGTTGCATAAACTTACTTTTAAGTAAAGTCAATCTTCTAAGTAACTTTCTATTGATGGTCCTCTGTCTGCATTATACAAAGAACCAACTACATTAAAAGTAAAACGAAGAAGAGGAAGAGGAGGAGGAGTTGATAATCCCACACTAATCAGACTGAAATCTCTCCTTTGTCATCGAGCTAATCCAGCATAACAACTTGTTTAAAGTGAGGGTTCTGATTTTGGCGGCTGTGGCTCAGTTGGTAGAGTCGGTCGCTCTCAACTAGAAGTTTGGGGGTTTGATCCCCAGCTCCTGCAGCCACATGTCCGATGTGACCTTGGGCAAGTGTATGAATGTGTATGAATGGTTTAGTTGCTTCTGATGGACACTTTACTCAGCAGTCTCTACCATCAGTGTGTGAATGTGTAGATGTGACCTGCGGTGTAAAAGAGCTTTGAGTAGTCAGAAGACTAGAAAATAAATATACAAGCACAAGTCCATTTACCATTGGACAGAAGAGGTCAATAAAGAATAATGGGAAAATGTGATTTAGCTCCATAGTTCCTGTCAGAGTTGTAGATGAGATGTTTTTTTGTTTCTGAAGGACTCATAAATGTGAGATCATGGATTTGCTGCCTCTCGGGTCTCTTTGATTGGACCAGCAGGAGGAGATTTAGAGGCCGGCTCATAGACGAGTGATTTGACCCTGCACAGTGTCGGCAGGCTCCCGAATGTGTTTGTTGATCTCTTGAACAAGACGTGGGGATTGGAGGAGATTTGAGGAGTTCCTGGAGTCTGAACAGAGGAGGAGCAGCAGGAGACGGGAGCAGATGATCTCCTGAATGAAAGGGTGAAAGGGTTTGGAGGAGATTTGAGGAGACGGAGGAGTTCCTTGGAGTCTGAACGGAGGAGGAGCAGCGGGAGACGGGAGCAGATTTAAAAGGATTAAAGAGCAGGAGAATAAGGGAAGACATTTTTTAAATGATTTATCTCTCATGTTTCCAGGGTTTCTACTTAACATGCTTCACTCAACAAGAAGCACAACTAATGCAGAGAGCAGGAAACAGACAATCAAACCCCCAATCATCCCGTCATTAAAACAAGTCCTCTAAAGGGCAGAAAACACACAGAGGTCAACTGCTGTTAACAGCTCTGTACTGACATCTGCTGGCCATACACTGAAACTACATGACTGCTCTTCACTAACTGCAGGTAGAAATGGGTCTAAAGCTGAGGATGACAAATATTCAATGTTCTTATGCCTGTCCATTCTCCTCGTCTTCCTTCTTGGTTCATGTCACACTTCTACACAAGTCACATCTCAGAAATGTGTACAGCTAATCTCTAATCTGTGTACTTAAAGCTCTGATCCATCACCCTCCACCTCCCTCTATACCTTCTCAAAATCAGAATTGAACCCATGTTAACATCCGCCACAAGAAAAAAACCTCAGAATCTCATATTTTACACTACTTTCAAATCTGCCTTTATTTGGTCAGACTTTAAAGTGTCACAAACACAGAGATGGTCCTTTAATAACATCCTGTTTTATTAACACACACACAGACATACACACACACACACACATACACTCACACACACACACACACACTCACACACACACACACACACACACACACACACACACACACACACACACACACACACACACTGCTGTCAGCTGTCTTAATCCCAACATGAAAGTTTACATCGTCGTGCTGATCAGCTGTTTGGATGGATTTGAAAAGTCATTGATGTATGTGTGTGTGTGTGTGTGTGTGTGTATGTGACATGATACCAAAGTTTTGTCATGCTTTCCATCTGACCCGTGTGTCGAGGGATTTTGTCAGCGGCCCCAAGAAGACGAACATAAAATGTTATTAACTGTGACACACACACACACACACACACACACATGCACGCACACACACACACACGCACACACACACACACGCACGCACGCACACACACACACTCACACACACGCACACTCACACACACGCACTCACACACACACACTCACACACACGCACACACACACACACGCACACAGACACATAAAAATACAGTGACCTACCTCAAAATTGTGTTTTCTTTTTTCACATTAAAAGATGAGTCGTACACAAATCCTCAGGTGAGCTTCATGTGTAAAAAGTGGACCTTCTCACTTTCACGTTACCTGGACTTTTTCCTTCCTGTATAGATGTTCACAATGTTTGAGTGTATATTTTGAACATTTCAGCTCTGTATCACAGCTACCTGGAGTATGTTTTCAGCTGTTTTTAATGTTCAAACGTATAATTTACTCACTTAAGACTTATGGTAATTAAATTATGATGTATAATTTTTATAAATATATTGTTGTTATTGTTTTCCATCAGGCATAAGTCAGGTCAAAGACAAGGGGGGGACGTTGTGAGCATGATGTCATTGCTATGACAGTAGATGATATTACTGTTAGAGAATATGAGTACCTCAGGGAGTGAACACATACAGTGTTTGTTTCTACTGTGATGATTAACCTCTAGCTTAACTCCAACAGCTGTAGTGTTAATGAGACAGAGAGAGAGAGGGGGGGAGAGAGAGAGAGGGGGGGAAGAGAGTTTCAGAGAGAGAGAGAAAGGGGGGGGAGGGAGGCAACAGTTTAGTGTGTACATGCCACCACTACGAGCTCCGTTCTCTAATGAACCTGCTGCATTATGTTTCCTGTTCTCCAGTATGTTCTTGTTTGGATGGATTTGAAAAATCATTGATGTATGTGTGTGTGTGTGTGAGGGGGAAAGAGAGTGAGAGAGAGAAAGGGAGAGAGAGAGAGAGAGGGGGAAGAGAGTGAGAGAGAGAGACAGAGAGACAGAGAGAGAGGGGGGAAGAGACTGAGAGAGAGAGAGAGAGGGGGAGAGAGAGTGAGAGGGAAAATAGAGTGAGAGAGAGGGAGAGAGAGAGAGAGAGAGAGAGGGGGAGAGAGTGAGAAGGAAAATAGAGTGAGAGAGAGAGGGAGAGAGAGAGAGAGGGAGAGAGAGACAGAGAGAGAGAGAGAGAGAGAGGGGGAAGAGAGAGGGAGAGAGAGAACACGTCCTTCAGAAGACCTCATGATCCAGTGAAGGTTCTTACTGACCACAGACAACATGTCCTCCTACACAACACACAAATATGAGGCTTTTGTTGTTAAACTGTTGCCTTTTTTTCTTGCACAATCATTGATGGTGGTCCAAAGACCATGATAGACAGACCACCACATGCCATGCGATCATTGTCCACACTAACGTAGTCAGTCTGAATCAAACTTTAACTTTGGGTCTAACGTGAACAGCATCGTGGGACATTCAAATCTGTGTCATTCATGGTACATTTTGGCTCCAAATACAGCGCTGTGACCTGTGTTACACAAACATATACACACACACACACACACACACACACACACACACACACACAGTACTGTACATAAAGACACAGATGTCATGGCTTAAACAAATGGCACCAGGATCTTAACCACAGCTTAGTCGTCTTATCACTCCCAGTGTGTGTGTTTATGAATATAATAAAACAACTGCTGACAGATGAAAACAAACAGAGAAGTCAAACTGTCCTCGACTCCTCACACTCCTTGACCTGCTGATGAGTTTTATTTAAATGAAAATAACACTGTGGTGCTGACTTATTTCTGTATAAATCCCTTGAAAACAATAAGAAAGGCTTCAGTAATGAAGTGATCTTGATGTCATAAATATAAGATTTATAAGAATATATTGAATACATTTAAATTAGGGCTTTCACACTTTTAGAAAAAACTCCAGAAAAACTCCTGATAAATCCGGAGGAGCTACATGTGTGAACACTAACAGAAAATTGTTTCCCCTGACAGTCCTCTAGCATTTTTTCCGCAGCAAGTCTGAGTGAGCTGATGTGAGAACACAGCAGTATTTTCAACGGAGAATTCACCTCGAGCCAATAGGAGGGGGAGTGATGTTTATGCGACTGCTGCACGGTGCATAGAGTGTGTACATGTAACCACTACGATCGCCGTTCTCTAATGAACCAGCTGCATTATGTTTCCTGTTCTCCAGTATGTTCTTCTCCACTCTTTAGTCCATATTGTGATTCTGTTGGACTACATGTAGCATTGATATAAAGACAAATATTGTCATTATAGCGTCGTGTAGTGGACTCTGTTGCTTCATCCGCTACTTCCGCGTTGTTTTTTTACATCATGTCTTACCTCAGGAGACCCTGAGGAGACCCCCCCCCCCCCCCTGTCTGACCGGGATAGTTTCCCGCTGTGAGGAGAATGTGTGAACAGCCAGGTCGGGAGAATCTCCGGAGCAGTCCTCCTGAAATGATCTAGATATTGTCCGGGGTGCATAATGTAAAACCAGCTAAAGTCTCCTCATTGAGGGTCGAGTGTTGGTTCAGTATTTGGTTCTGGAGTTACAGCGCTGCTTCTAACTAAAGGAGAGATGATGCAGTACAAACAGGATGTGAGGAAGAGAGGGAAGAAGGTGTGCATGAGAGGAGAGTATAGAGGAGGAGAATAGATCGAGGGAACGACGGAATGACAGCAGAGAGTCAGAACAATAGAGGTGGAGAAGAGGGGAGGAGTTGAAAGAGGAGATAAAGGAGAGAGGAACAAAGAGAGGAGGACATCATGAGCAAAGAGATGTAACAAACTAAAGAAGGGAGAGAGAGAGAGAGAGAGAGAGAGAGAGAAAGAGAGTTATGAGGAATTACTGATACGTGAACGAGGAGAGGGAGGAAAAAAAGTTTTAGAATCCGAGAGAAGACAGAAAAGTCACATTTAGCTTGAAATCAACAGTAAGTTAAACCGGTTTTTGAAGGAAACCTTCAGAGTTTTTTTTAAAGGATTATTGTCCCTCCAGAGATGGAAAATTCTTCAACATGCAAACTGTGTTTCCTGTTTGTTTTTGTTTTTCTTAGATGATGAATGCAGCTCGTATTCACGACAAGCAGAAGCTCAGGTCGTTCTGGGAGCAGAGGATTGTTCAGCACAGCGAGCACATGGACGTGGAGGAGAACCGCGTGAGGAGCAGCTCTCTGTCACGGTCAGATTTAATCCCACCTGTAGTTAAATGTTTGGTGGCTGCAGCAGCGTCTCATAGAATGACGGCTATGATCTGATCTAAGTGTTGTTGGGTCTCATTTCTGACCTCCTTTTCATTAAGTCACATCATCACATAGAAGAGCTGCGGGTTAATCAAAGTGAAGTGCTGCATAAACCCTCAGAGATAAGAGTTTGTGATGAATGCTTTTCACTAAATATGTTCACGTCTCTAAACTTCATCATCTGGATTGTAACCGAACCAGTGAGTGGTCTGTGAATTCATCTTTAACAACCACTGAAGTTTCTCCAAAGTGAGCCAGGATCCTTCCTGCGTCATAAAAATGAAACATGTAAAAACATCCTACACCGAAAAAAAAAAATACATTTAAATCAAGCTCAATACCCATACTGCACTGATCGTTATAACACACATAAACTAAACAAGTGCTCTGGCACTTTAAATTTGCATATCTAAAATATTCCAGATCCAGCCTGTTTGCTCTTTAGTAGAGGCTAAAAGAGAACCACCACGTCTTTTTCAAGATGAATGAAGAATATCTTTGATGAATGAAATGTATGTTAGAAATTCTGTATGGTTTTGGTCCATTGCAGAGAAAAGAATGGAGTTTTATTTTGATGCTTATAAGTTAGATTATTTTGTTTGTACAGCTGAGAAGAGAAGTAAGCATGCTTAATTAGTTGTCCGTGTGCAGTGCCAAATATTCTTTTTATCATTTGTATTTCTCTGTATTTTTTTTTATTTCTTCACTTGTTATCAGCGTCCTGAGCCTCTCTTTGGCAGAATTATTGCACAACTAAAACAAAATTAAAAGGTTTTAGAATGGAGGCAAAGAGCTAGCCTAAAAAGTGAAATGATAAAACATGTCGTTAAAACAAGGTCTATGTTAGTTTTTTTTATATTTACTGGTCAATCTGAACTTTAACTGAACAGCAGAAGAACTCAATGTTACTCTTCATGAGGGGTGAAATGTTACATCACCTCCTTTATGAACTGCTTCTAAGTTAGTCTAAATTTCTTCTAAACTGTCCGTGCTGTGTTTTAATGCTGGACAGATCCCATGCAGCTGCCTTTCATTACTGCTAGTTAACATGAGATCAAGCTTCCACTGGTACGCTACAGCTGACTGATATCCTCTAGGTGTTGCAGGGTTTTCCCCGGTTTATGTGAAGCAGAATAAGTTCAGACAAGCTGTGTGTGAGGTGATCATCAGGGAATGTTCTGTAACTCAATTCAACAGGTGACTGCACATGGACGTCTTTCTTCACTACCTAAACACACTTCTGTGAGCGTGACCTTTGACATCAAGTGTTTTTCAATTTCTTTCTACTCCATACAGGCATTCAAACGTATTGAAACGTTTTTTCAAGGACACATGAAGCCGAGGAGAGGTGAACAAAAATGAAGTGATGAAGGTTGTGGTAGTAAATCAATCAAGCATTATTTGTATAGTGCCAATGCATAACAAGTGTTATCTCAAGACACTCTACAAAAAGCAGGTAAAAGACCTAACTTATTGCTATATCACAGAGACCCAGTTTCATCCATCATGAGTGCAGCACTTTAGCAAAAGTAACAGTGGCAAGAAAATACGTCCTTTTAACAGGCGGAAATCTTGGGCAAATCCAGGCTCATGACGGGACAGCCATCTACCAAAATCATGGCTTGAAAATAGGATAGGGGGAGATGGGATAAGATGCAGGAAGAGGGATATGGGGGGGCGCGATATGACAGCTTATCTTCTAAGGTAAAGTCAGACATCATAACATCATGGTGCAGAAAAGCTGAAAAGTTTAGAGCTCGATGTTTTTCTTTCTGAGTGACAGCGTCAGAGATTTATTCTGTATCATGTCGTTTCTGCCTCTCAGTGAAGCTGCAGAAGTTTAACTCAACCCTCCATGTTTTCCTCCGATAGATTCACATCTTACTTTGTGTCTTTTGCAATATTTAAAAAAATTATCCTCTCAAAATTCAGCCTGACATATTTGACGTCTTTATGAAACTTTGGGATATTTTTGGGATAAGTTTTTCAGGGTTTGAATAAAGTTTCAGACTGGATGAAGAGCAGGGTCAGAGAGGAGGGGAAAGGAGCATCAAAAATAAACTTTATTACCGTCCCCGGTCGGTCTCTCTCCGATGTATAACTTGATTAGTTTGGAAAGGAGCCGTGGTCATGTTCGCAGCTCGTCCGTCTGTCAGCACGTGGAGCCTGAGAATGTTGATTAGCGGCATCTCGACTTCACATGTGGATCCTGGAGATCAGCATGCGGACAGACGAGCAGATTAAGCACACATGACGGCGCGTGCTGACAGACGAACTCACTTACACAGACACAACAATATTAAACCTGTCACAGCACACACACACACACACACACACACACACACACACACACACACACACACACACACACACACACACACATTGTTCCTTGTGCTCTGTAACACAATTATTAGCCCTGACAGCTCTGACTGCAGATCAACTTTCACTGGATGTCTGCACGATTAATTTAAGCCCAGGAGTTATGGTGTCATACTGGCCTCAGGATGTTCTGACTAAACATCCGCTCAGTCGGCCTTCCAGTCACTGAGTACAGACGAGACAAAGATGAGTACAAAGGGCTTTCTTCTTTAAAGTCATTTTATAAACAGTTTTATGTCATTGAGGTTACCTAGCTGACTCGACACAAACCTCCAGTTATGGGGAACATGTCGGAGGAAAAGGCACCGTCCATTACAAAGGACGGACAAAGAGGAATACACTGGATGGGAAGCTAAATCTCGATTAATGTCTGAGAATATTTATAGTAACATTTATGAAAAGAAATATTGAATTATTTAGGAAAATGGTTTAGGACATTGGTTCCTTACCTGGGGTCTGCGTGTTTGTCACTCATTTAGACCGTAACACAGGGAAGGCTGCGGCCGTAACCCTGGGATAAAAATCAAATTATGAATTGAAGTTATTTGTTCTTTTAAAAAGAGGTGTTTTCCTTCTAATCTCAGTGATGACGTGGAAATCTATCCTATCAGGGGAGGTCTTGACCGATCTTGATTTAAAATCTGGAGTCCGCCCAGTCTGAGACCGAGATAAGACCGAGTAAAAATTATTTTGATTCTCAGATGAGACCGAGACCTTGAAAAAGTGGTGTCGAGACAAAAAAAAAAAAAAATTAGTAAGCGCTTTTTTTCTCTGACTCTGATGACCTGGAGGTTTTGTAGCACAGATGTGTCGTTATGTTTTACAGTGTATATAATAGTTGCAAAGTTATAAATTGTGATCACATTTATACAATTATAAACCAGCAAGCAATGCTTCGGCTCCTTACATTTCAGATTCATGAACTGGTATCAAATTTAACTTAACAGATCCTACTACTGCCATCTCACCTTAAGAGCCCGAGGTTCTGCAGTCTGACCGGCTACTAATTTAACTTCCTTCCCTCTCTCCATCTCCCTCCACCCCCCCCCCCCCCCTCCCCCCTCTGCAGGCTAAGGGAGCAGTGGGTGGTCAGGTTGGATCAAAGGAATCAGTACCAGCAAAGTTTCTTCGAGGAGAGAATCAGACGAGCTCAGAAAACTCAGCAGAGCCTCAGGAGGCTCGATTCGGCCTGAAACCTGCTGACCAATAGGAGCTCTGCAAAGACATGAATGCATAATTACTTTGTAATTATTCAATTATTTTTGGAATATGTATAACTTTATTTGTTATGAATAAAACAAATAGAATGCAAAACATTTTACCAAGCTGTCATATATGGAGTGAATAAAAAAAGGCAGCCATTGTTCTTTTTGGAAAAAACACAAAATGTAAAATGAAATGTCTTCTTTAGAAATGTTTTACCCTCTAGGTTGGACTTCATTTCTGCCTTTACTGTTTGTCACATCCAACATGTGCTCTATCATTACAACTTTTTATGACTCTGTGCGTCCTTTTGTTACTCAAGGACTCCATATCTTAGAGTAGAGAGAGTCATCTCTTCACCATCTTACAGTACGGCTCCAGTGCTTCAGGCGAGGGCGCTAGTCATTGCGCCAGAGCACTCAACTCGCCGCTTGATAGGCGTATACCTACTTTATGGCGGTTGATATATTATTTTATTTTGTTTTCCCTCCTTTTTGCTGTAGGTTACACAATTGGTGAAGTAGCCTCAATGAATGCACCTGATTGGATAGATGAGCAGCTAGTCCGGGAGGTCGCTGGACTCATTTGCATAGAAAAGACTTCAGGTCTATTCTTCTCTGGCAAGCGCACCAGAGCCCTTCTCAAGACGCGCCGCAAAGATCCCATAATGCATTGCGCGATTGCCTCTCCGGCTCTCCATAGGAAATGAATAGAAAGCGTCAAGACGCTATCCATCGTCAGAACCAGTGGAGCCGTATAGGAAAGGAAATGGAGCATCCTACTGAATATTGTCCATCAACGGTGTAAATCTAAAGAGCTTTAGAAGTGCATTAAACCATACTGGCTGTAGGCTCAGTGATGAACTTTGAGTCTTTGTGTTTTTGCTGTTAAAAGCCTGAGGTGAGAGTGGAGTGTCTGTGTTGATTTATCACTTTAACAACTTTTATTCAGCTCACGTGCGCAGCCTGTTGCTCTTCACTTCCATTAACTGCAGATCAGTTTCTGGCAGAGAGCCACAGCGTGCAACAGGAAGCTCGCTGCAGCGGGATTTTGTGTGTGTATGTTTATAGGAACAGTGTGTGCTGCAGGGATGTGCCGCTCTTTTCCTCCTGAGAACAGCCCACACTCCAAATATCTGCTTCTCGGCAACCATCCAGAAATGACAGCACACACACACACACACACACACACACACCACACACACACACACACACACACACACACACACACACACACACACACACACACACACACACACACACACACACACACACTGTTTTCTGTGGATTAATTTCATGAGTCACATCAGCTCTAACAGTCAGTCAGGCTCGTCTCATGTCGGTTCATTCATTGAGCTCGTTTAACTCTTTCACCCTCACGCTGTTTAATGAAGAAGAAAACATTTTCATAAAACTGAAAACTTTTTTTTCAAGTTAAAGTTTTCATTATTCTGATGGGACTACATTTGTGTCAAATCAAAAGCAAAAGTTAATTATGGGGTCCTACCCACCAGCGTTCAGCAGGGCAACCAGAGTGAATGTTGTCAGATGGGGCCCCATTAGGAAGGTTTCCTACTGCTATTGCAAAATTTGCACATTTTGGGTTACTGTGATTCAAAGTTTGTCAGCCCTCTGGGGTCCCTTACTGGTCGGGGGCAAATCCGTTCACAGGGGTCACATTTTCCACCCCATGCCACCCCGGTAGTTCCGCCCCTGGTGTAGATTGTGTAGAAAACTCAGCGTTTCTTCTTTGTCATCGCCATCAGGGTCACCATCAGGGTCGCCCTCACGCCCGGAAAGTGCTGCATGCACTAAATTACAAACCATGACAAACATAAGCATGGTGTTTTATAGAGCGTGATTTAAAAAAAAATGAAAAACAAAGATGTGAAGTCTTTGAGGAACAAACAGATGCACAGAGTCATAAAAAGTTGTAATGATAGAGCACCTGTTGGATGTGACAAACAGTAAAGGACGTCCTGCAGCCAAAGAATGAGGACAAATGAGCTTTTTAGTGCTCGAATAGATCATCTTTTAATATACTGCTCAGTGTTTGCCTGGCTTGTTTTGTTTCTAAAATTGGCAGCAGAGTTTCAGTGGTATTGATCGTCCTCTGGAGAGTGTTTAGCATCATCATATCCTGTTAGAACAACTTCTCTTTGTAACAGCAGAAACAAAGCACAGTCGATATCACTGAGTAATCTAATTATGATGAAACAAGGACACATTGATGATGAATAGTCAAGCCAAAACAAACGTGCTACAGTTCTTATTTTCACCACCAGGGGGCAGCAGAGTACAGTGAAACATGGTGTCAGAAATACTTTTCCTTTTATCTCTCTCATGTTCGTTTATATATTCGAGGTGTAGATTTGATAGTTTAGTAGAGTTTAGACTTTTTCCTTTCTATTGACCTCTCATTTTCAACTTTTTAAAGTTTTTTCATGCTCTTGAATCACAAATAAACCTTCTTGAATCCTCATGGTTACAAATAAGTTGATCATTTGAGGTCTTGTTTGTTAGTTTGGATGAAACTCCTCAGTAAACGTGTCGTGTTCTCCGTCATTTATTCCGTGTTTAGTTTATTGTCATGTTTGTTTTCTAACACTTCACCTCCTGTCCTTGTGTGTTTCCCGCCTTTCTGATTGTGTGTCCTTCACTGATTGTTTTCACCTGAGCCTGATTGGACTCACCTTCCGGGTGGACTTGTTTCTCTCTCTTGTCACTTCTTCCACTTTGTTCAAGTGCTGCTTTTTTCTGAATCTTTTTTGGAGATATTTCATTTTCTGAACACTCTCTGGATACGACTGCTACAGTGTGACCCTCGACCACCTCATCCCTCGATAAGCAGCGTCTTTCCCTTTTTGTAAATTAATTAATTCGGCCCAAAAGACCCAAATAAAAAGTTTGATAATAATGTACCTATTAAAGCCACAGAAACCCCCAAGTTAAACAGCTTTAAAATGTTACACTTTAATGTATTTTAAATGAGTTTCAATCCAAAAAAAGACAGTTAGTCTTTTATTTTGAAATTTTGATTTGCCTTAAGCTGAAAGTACTTTACTTGGAGTTTGAATTAAACCCTGCTTCTATGTGTAGTCATGTTAAAGGTTAAGACATTAACTTAACCACGGAAACAGGAAGTGGTCAGGGATCACAAACAGATGTCAGACAGCTCAAAGGAACGGTAACAAAGGTCATCAGCTGAGCTGTCTGAGAGTTTGTTGAAGTGAAATGAGACATTCAAAGATGCAGCAGTGTCCTTATTTTAAATCATTGAGACTACAGGAAGACACTGAGGATGACTATCTATGGTGCACATAAAGGAACAAAATAGCACACGATTAATCACAATAATTTATCCCGATTAACAAGTTAATGCTGACAACCCAAATTATTTTATTTCCTCACAATGACAAACCTTGAGTTTCTGTAGGTACCACATTTAAAAACTTGTCAGCTCAGATCAGCAGATTTCTTGTGACCTTCATGCTGCACTTTTTTTACCCAGAGCGAGTCTTGACTGTACGGTTCTCTCAGCAACACTGTGTTCCCACTGGCAGGAAATAAAAGCCCGCTCTGTGACAAACCTGCAGGTTTTAAAGGACTCTGTGAATAGATGAGACTGGACGTGACTTTCTAAATATAAATCCCGACCTTGCCACAGATGCAGGAACAACCTGAGTCACAGTCGCTGCTGCCACCGAAAACACAAAGAGCAGAAACACGAAGAGAAACATGTGGATAGAAAGAAACGACATGGCATCGATACTCATTTGTGCATATTTAAAAATGTTAATTAACATTTAAAGACAAAGAGCCTACAGCCATGCTTGCAGCTCTATCAGGCTGTGCTTTGAGCTAAATACTAACATAAGTGTGCTAATATCTGCAGTAAGAATAATAATATGCTGATGTTTAGTAGGTTTTTGTACTCTCTCTGTCAGCCTAGTTTTACATTCAGAACGGCAAACATTTACTGACTTAACTGTGTACTCTCTGGAGACAAATGATGTGAGTTTTGACAGCTGCTGCTGCAGAAAAGAGGTACAACAAAATGTTCCACTTTTGCAGAATCAGAGTGATGGTATTGCCCTGCGGTTGTCTGGGAGCACTCGAAATGTCTGAACTGTTGTGGAGACGCTGTCAGTCACAAATGTCAACCTCAGCAGCGTGGCTCAGGAGAATAACTAGTGTCTGTAAGAACCATAAATGTCTGCACAACATTTTGTCAATCCACTCAGTAAATTATGGTGCAACTCATTGGTTCGTGGAGTATTGCTTTCAAAGCCTCAAGTTCGACATTGCCAGCTTGTTTTCTTGGACGAGAGGGTGGATACACGTAGCATTGCTTCTGTGCAGGATGTCAGGTTGCTATGGTAGGTTGGTATGGATGTCAGGTATGACTTCTCAATCACAGCTAGCCAGGCCCTGGGACTACTTTGCTTTATCATCTATCAAACCTTCAACAGAACCATAATTAATAAGATAAGTATCCTGCAGTGTGTAAGGAAGAACATGCAACTTTTTGATCCAGTAGATGTCGCCCTTGGGCACCAGCATGAAACCAAAACAAACTGCTGTTTGGCCACACCTCCTCCATACTGAAGCCTCCGCTCTCCTCCAGCGAAACACCTCCAACCCCCGTGTCCTCGCGTCCATATAAAGAAGTCAAGTGCAATTGGTGGACAAAATTGTCCTTGGTTTGAGCTGCAGCTGTCTGTGGCCTGCATTGTTGTGTTACAGGCTAATGTTAGTGCTCTTTAGTTAGCTTGTAGCTTGCAGGAAAAGTGCCACAGGTCAAACCAGGACCCGTATCGCTCTCGAGAACTTAGACCTCTGTATATCAGGTGTGCAAACTAACTGCTAGACTACCAGTGCCCCGAAATAAGTCAGTTGGTACTTGGCTCAGTCTCTCAAACACTCCCTTCAGAGAGTAAGTGTCAGTCTTTGTGTCACATTAATGTGCTGGCTGTTGAATAAATTCTCTTTAAATAGACACTACTCATTAAAGGTCAAATAAAATGTTATTTTGATATTCTCATTTTCTATGAACTCTCCAGCTTGTTTTGTTTACTGCTGATGACATTTTGCTGAGCACTCTTCTTTTTTTGTGAAATTACTTTTCTATATTTGAATATTATAAACTAAATATCTCCAAGAGGGCTTTTTTAAATTTATTTTTGTGGCTTTTTCTGCCTGTATTGGAGAGAAAGGACAGTGGATAGAGTTGGAATTTAGGGAGAGAGAGAGAGAGAGAGAGAGAGAGAGAGGAATGACATGAGGGAAAGGAGCCACAGGTCGGACTTGAACCCGGGCCTCCCGAAGGACTACAGCCTCCATACATGGGCCGTGCTGCACTAACCACTGTCCAACCAACACCCCTCCAAGAGGTCTATTTCCTGTCGTTAACTGAGATCATATTGGCAAATTGAGCTTTATAATCTGTTCTTTATCTTCTAATCTGTACTCCCTCCTCTCCGTTGTGTGACTGCATGAACTTACTTTGCTAGTTTTGAACATATTTGGAAATATGAAAATGATTTTCTTCATAAACTGAGCATGAAGACAATACAAGAAAAGTATTGATATTTCTCTGCACTGCCATTTTTACATGATTCTGTTGTGTTTTTGAGTATGAATCCTCCTCCCTCTCTCCACATTCATTCTGATTGTAATATATGGAAGTTAAGAAAGTCGACGTTGAGTAAATTCCCAGTGTGATTGTGGGTCAGCAGGGGGCAGCAGTGAGCCGTCTATCCAGCTGAGTGTTCTGTATTCACATGCAGAGAGCTG